CTTCAGTAAAGTTGCAGGATAAAAGATTAACTCAAAAAAATCAGTAGCACTCCTATACACAAATGATAAAAAGGCTGAGAAAGAAGTCAGAGAAAAATCACCCTTTACAATAGCCACAAATAATATAAAATACCTTTGGGTAACACTAAGTAACTAAACAAGTGAAGGACCTTTTTGATAAGAACTTTAAATCTCTAAAGAAAAAAATTGAAGAAGATATCAGAAAATGGAAGGATCTCCTATGCTCATGGATAGGTAGGATTAACATGGTAAAAATGGCAATCTTATCAGAAGCAATCTACAGATTCAATGCAATCACCATCAAAATCACAACACAATTCTTCACAGACTTGGAAAGAAAAATACTCAACTTCATATGGAAAAACAAAAGACCCAGGATAGTTAAAAGAATCCTGTATAATAAAGCAACCTCTGGCCGGGCGGTGGTGGTGCACGCCTTTAATCCCAGCACTCGGGAGGCAGAGCCAGGCAGATCTCTGTGAGTTCGAGGCCAGCCTGGGCTACCAAGTGAGTTCCAGGAAAGACGCAAAGCTACACAGAGAAACCCTGTCTTGAAAAACCATCCCTAACATCAAGCTCTACTATAGAGCTATAGTAATAAAAACAGCTTGGTACCGGTATAAAAACCGACATATAGACCAATGGAATGGAATTGAAGACCCTGACATTAATCCACGCACATATGAACACTTGATTTTTGTTTTCTGAATTCTCAGTCATCATTGAATACAATATGTTCAGCAAGCAGGCAAACCTACATGTAGGATTTCTATTGAGAGCTGCTGGTAGCAAAAGTCCATGAGAGTATACAGCAGTGACAACTAGAGTTCAGAAGGTCAACCTATCAGAACTAAGGGTTCTGTTAGAGGAAACCATCACGCAAGGCATTATGGAATTACTGCCTTTTGAATGAACTGGCTCTCTCTTGTTGTAAACTTCTTATGCAATAACAGTCATGATTCTCCCCATTTACTGTGCATCTCCATGTTATGTGGACATGTAATCTCACAACTGCATCTCAATCTTGGGCTCAACTTTACATATACATTTGGGATAATTGGGTAACTGTCCCCAGCTGTGTTTATTTTTCATTAACATATATCTGGGCAGAGTCATTCTCCAGACAAAAGTATTCCAGCAAAGATACCTTTTTCCAAGGACAAAACTGCACATAGATAAATGTTACCTCATCTCACCCACAGATAGAGAAAAGAACCACTAACAATTAAATCCTAAACTCCTTACCTTCACCCCAGGTTATTTACACAAGACCCTAACTTAAAGATTTCCTGCTCACATTGCTGGGATGATGTTTTAGGCATTTGCTAGTTACTGAGTTAAAGCAGTTACTTCCCACTGACCCAAGGAGATTGCCTTCAAGACCAGACAGGTGATAGGTAGCAAGCTTCTTTCTTGTGCAAATTTAATTTTTATTCCTCTTCAGCCAGGTGCTATTCCTAGATTTTCTGCTCAGCAATTACTCTGAGTGAAAGTGCTTTTTCTAACCAAATGCTACATGCTCTGACATAGGTTGCTTAGCCACCTAGCATATGCCCCCTTCCTATCAGAAAGCAGCTGCAGCCAGGATGAGCAGGAAAAATGGCGCCAAAGACAGTTTACTTTCTTGTGACTTATTGACCGTTAACATTCTACCTAGCCATTTCTAGATTATAGTTTGAGCACATAAATTTCCTAATTGATCTTAGTCTTTAATTGACACTACCAGAGAACTCCCCTTCAGCCACTCCCCTTTGGGGTTGTAATTGGAAGCTGACAAATACTGCTTTATGTGTGGATCTTTATCACCTCTCTCTGAGACCCTGAAAACTTCAAGCCTCACATTACTTTGCCAAAGAATACTGCATGTATAAATATATACTGGTTCCCTCAGAGGACTGGAGAGAATTGATTGAGAAGAACAGAGATGAGAATGGAGATGGAAAGAACTAGGTAAGGATGAGAGAACAGCAGGAGGGACTGAGAGCAGCTAAGTATGAGAACAGAAACAAAGCTGTGTGGATAGGATTGACTTAGAAGAATAAAGTAAATGGACTAAAGAACTCAGTGTGCTTCGATTCATTGAATATCCCTCAGATTAGAATCCTCAGCTGGTTGTTAGACTCTTCCACAGACCCTGGGAGCAAACAATATAGACTGGACCTATATTGTTTCCAGCTCAAATCTCTGCTAATATGTGACTTTGGGTCAATTTCTCTTCTTTCTCTGGACCTCAGTTCACCCATATTACAATCCAGTTAGTTAGCCAAAAGGATATAGATTATCCCTACCCTTTTGGTGAGAAACAGAGAGAATCTCTGTAAGGATGTATGGATGACCAGGGATGACATGACAAGACTCACAATATGAGAGCAGGCTCGGCTGAGTTGTTCTAATATGTGATCATCAGTGACATGTAAATTCCATCATTCCTTTTTTCTTTCATGTCCATTTCCTGCAACAATGAGGGAAGAAGGGAAATATTTAAAAAAAAAAAAAGGACCTGAGAGTACTCTGCACTTTAGGAGAAGGCATGCAATTATGAAAAGTGAAATATTTCGTTTCTAAAGTGCCTTTTCAAAAGGAGACTAAAGAGTTAAATTTATTAGTGTGCAAGACATTGAGCAAACCATGAGAGTGAAGCTTTTCTGGGCTCAAGCAATCTTAAATTGTGTCAGTGGGTACTGAGAAAAAACAGAAAGGGTGTGTTTCCATGTGCATGTGCCTAGTTAAATGAGACCCATTTTATTTCTACCCTTCTCTGTGGTGTGACTTGGGAGGTGCAGTGCTAGTGAACATGATTGTACCCCTTTTGTTATCACTTGGCACAGGGGCTCTTGTGATGCCTCTTTTTGAACTAGCTTTGTCATGGACCCAAGCTGAGACACAGGGGTTAGTGTGAAGCCATTCCATAGCCCCCAAGTCCCTTCTGTTCCAGGTAGGGGAAACAATAAAAGCCCCCTAACAAAAATCCCATGATAGCACTTGAACTCAGGTGAATTGGCACCTTCTGTTGCACATCTAAAACACTGGCTTTTTGCCTTCTTTTCCCCTTCCATAATGTCAGCCTGGATCCTAACTTCAACTCTGCATTCCCTATCTACAGCAATGAAACACACTTTAGGAAGACTCCAGCTGGTGACTACTTTCAGCTCCCTGAATTTGTTTTTCCTGAGAACCCAAAGTCGAGGAGAATAACCCTCTGGGAAATTAGGCTCCAAGAAGACAATTTCCATCCTCTGTGATCAAAGCCTTGTCATAAGACCCCTTGGTAAGAGATCCCATCAACCCAGTCAAAGATGAAACACATTGGATTGGGTTAAACACATTGAGTTACTGGAGTGTCAATGATCTGTGAATAACCTCCTGATTCTCCAAAGGTGTGCATATGTTTCAGAGTGCCTATCTAGCCAGGACAGTCAAATAGCCACACTACTTTCACTACAAGATGCAAACTCTTGGACACAAAGTCTAAGAGAAACACATCATGTCCCTTTGGCAGAGGCCCAGAGCCAGACACCCCTGCGTCCAGTCTAGGCAGTAAGCCCCTCCCTCTCGCATGGCTGGACCTGGTGGCTGGTGCTGGTCCGGGGACGACTACAGAGGCCTGAAGGGGCTGGTGGGGGTGGGGTGCGCAGCGCGCGCCTATTTGTGTGGCTTCTGGCACCTGCGGGATTGGCTCAGCTGGTGCTGCCGTCGGAGTGGGCGGAGCCAGCAGCCCGCCCCGCCCCACTCGGCACCCAGTCTCGGCCTTGAGCGGTAGAGCACACCTCGCAGCAGCCGGGCGCTCCCTGTAGACCACTGCGTTGGGGAGAGCTGCTGCGGAGCGGCTGTTTTTCCCTTCTCTAGGCTCCAGACGTCTCCACACTCCCTGCTCCCTTCAGGTCTCTCCTTTGTGTCGCAATTCTGCAGAAGGGCTAGCGATCCCGCCCCCTTTGCCCTGTACTGACTCGCTCCCACCCTAACCCTGTCCGCTTTTCCAGCTGTCTGCTGCCATTCCCAGAGCATCGCAGCCATGGGCATCCGAGGCATGCTGCGAGCCGCCGTGCTCCTGCTGCTCATCAGGACTTGGCTCGCAGAGAGCAACGGCCCCAGTCCCACCCCGAAATTCCACTTCGAGCTCTCCTCCAGCATGCCCGAAGTCATCCTGGATCTCTTCAACTGGTAAGCGGCCCAGGCTAGCTGAGCATGGAAGGGACAGGGACAAGCAGAAGGTTTTGGCCTCTTGGACTGGGTGCGGGCTGGGTGCAGGGGACTCAGACCCCGGCTTACCTAGGGGATGAAGTGGGTGTGGGGACAGCTGTGAAATGATACTCCAAGCTTCAACCCACCTGTTACTGCTGCGTGTCTACCATTAGCCCAAGCCTTGAGGCTAGGAGCACCCTCACCCCCGAGTCTACCTGATCATCCTCAAGGACTGAGGTCCCAGGCAGCTTTTCCCAGTTGTGTTCTCCGAAGCCCGTGGGACTGGGAGGTGTACATGGGCAATTCACAAAACAGACAGGAAAGACACCTGTTTGAGTAGACCTTTAGTCCATTTGCTGAGGCAGTGTGTGTGTGTGTGTGTGTGTGTGTGTGTGTGTGTGTGTGTGTGTGTGTGTTGTGTTGTGTGTTCCTTTATCAAATACAGCAGATTGAAATGATTAATTCTGTGAAATCAGTAGCTGTAAATGACATAACCTTCTGGCTTAAAAGAGGTAAGCTTTTGTGCTTACTCTTGTAAAAACATTTGAAGATTTCAGTTTTTCTCTGTGCTTAATTTAAAGTTTGTTTAGTTCTGTAAGTATCTGAAGAGGGGATAAGCTGTCATCCTTGACATGTAGATCACACACACACACACACACACACACACACACACACACACACAAAATGTGTATTTGCCATGGCTGCAGAGCTGGAGGGCTGGCACATGGGAAATTCTTTGGACAGAAACAGGCAGGAATGTATTTCTTTAATTTGGAAATAATTCATGCGCACACTTTGAAATGTTACAGAATTAAATTTTATGATTGAGGAAAATGAGGAATAATTTTAAGTGGCAAACTAGAAATAAACATGTATTCAGAAAGGGGGGGGTAAGCTGGGCAAGGTTCCAGCAGGCAGCCCTGCAGTGCTCTCAACCCAACATTCCAGACTGCGTCAGTGAACACATACAGAGGGTGGGGGGAGTGAAGGAGAGATGAGGGGACAGAGAAAGACACACAAAGAGAGAAAGACAGAGACAGAGATTGCAGGAACAATGCGTCAAAGATCCAAACAGTCACAGTAATAGTGATACCTGGGGCCTGTCGTCATTTAAAAGTCCTTTGGGGATTGAAAGTCTAGATCAATTCAATGAACATCTCAGAGACCTCTGGAAAAGCCAGCTCTATGCAGCTGAGCTGGCTTCACTTACATGTTCTCACCTAAGAAACCTCCAGGCTGAAAGCACATGTGTAGTGAGTGAGATGCTTGCTTCCAGAATGGATCTTTTCGAAGACAGCCCTAAATACCAGGAATATGAAATGGTTTAGTTCAATGAGGGCCATAAATCTCTGTTACATGAGCAAGATGTTTTCTCTCTCCCTGCCCCCACCACTCTCTTTCTGAGTCATATGTCATATGCCAATTCTCAAGCACAAAGTTCACATAAATGGGGGTAGAGGGACTCAGACCAGGTAGAAGAAGTGTGCCTTTGAGATAGAAAACATAAGCTCGGCTCAGGGGAGACACTTGCCAGTGGGAGCTGACTTCCTGGGGCAATGAGATACCCCTGGAAAGAGGATTATCAGCAATCAGCATCCAGGGGCACCTCAAGATATAGTTTCTCAGAGAATTAAAATGGTGTAGTTTTCTGAGGGTCTCATCTGCCCAGTTTCCCCCCTCTCCTATGGTGCGTTTTCCTCCCCACCCACTCACTATTCCTGCCTGGTAACAGGGATCTAGTCCTTGAGCCCCACCCTCTGGATTAAAGCTGTGAAGGGGGGGGAGGGGAAGGGGAAAAGAGTCTGCGTCACTGCTCTGCTTCTGGCTGACTCACTGTGAGCTGAAGGGGAAGAAGGGAGGGAGAGACCACAGACACATATGACTGGACATGTTTGCATATGTGATGGCTTTGGCAAACCAGCCACTGGCAAATGGGCCACAAGTCAACCAGCATTTACTCATGGATTCTCTGTTCCAGCAAAAATTGTGCAAATGAAGCTGTGGTTCAAAAGATTTTGGACAGGGTGCTATCAACATATGATGTCCGACTGAGACCAAATTTTGGAGGTAAGCCAAATCCAGACACCAGAGGCTTTTGTGTTAGATAGAACAGAGCCAGCTCCACCCTGTAAACTAACCAGGCTCTATAGGCCTCTGCCCCACAAATGCTACCTTCTTGAGTCTGCCAAGCCTTGCAATGGAGCAACCTCAGATTCCTAATCTCAGTTCTTCTGCTCTCTTCTTAGAATGTACCTCACATCTATGTACCAGCCTTCTATACCAGAGACTTTCTTTCCTTCCTTACTCCCTTTCAAAGGTGTTGCCACCCTTAAGTAATTCAGGGAATTTAGAATTGAGACCATGGTCTTCTCTGCCTCTGTCACCTAACTCACCTAGGCCTGGGACCCTTCTATAATACCCTGCTTTCCCAAGTCTTCAGCTCCTACCAAATTCAGTTCATCTAGCATACTGTACTACATGTGTTCTTCATAAAACTCAGATTGATGGCCACTAACAAAATCCCAACAGCACAAAGAGGAGAAGTAACAAGGAAACTGACACACACACACACACCTCCAAGAAGCTGATGGGCACTTTCTAGATTCTGCTTATCCTGGACCACACAAAGGGGACACCTCAGAAGCCCAAACCAATAGCAGACAAAAGAAAAAGTGCTTTAAATTAGGGTTAGTTAATTTTCAGCTCAAAGACAGCAGAAGGAGCTACAACACAGGACAGCTTACTATAGGATGGGACAGTGTCGAATGGGTAGTCACCACTAATGATTCATATTTGTGCTCATGTGTAACTGTCTTCTAAAAATACTGTGCCACCTTGAAAACCAAGGAGGTTTCCCTTGGCCCTAAATTTAAAGGGTGAGATTATTAGCTTGTGCATCCCTTTCCTCCACTACACAAGGGCAGAAGACAAAGGCAAGGGGCTCCGAGGTCAGTATGCATGGAAAACCAGGTTGGAAAAAGAAGAAGGCACATAATACCTTTATGCTACTGAGGCCACAGTGGTGGTACCTTTTCCATGCGGATCCTCAAGGGAAGGGGGAAAACAGAAATTCAGGTAGTAAAGCACAGTTAATACCCCTTACATGGTACTAGCTTTGAATCATTTGTGCCAAGCCCCAGAGGATGGCAGGGAAATTGATATTTATTTATTTGTTTGTTGCCTCTTTTTCACTCTGATGTTTGTCAGCAAAGGCCAAATAATAGTCATCTGCATGCAATGAGCATACACTCCCCACTGTTTCAGGCTCAGGCACCCTTCCTGCAGCATTGAGAACTAAAAGAAGGGAACAGAGACAAAAGTGCATCTCTGGGTTTTGGCCAGCACAGTTAGTCCATAGTAGGCTTGAGGCCCCTCTCCACCATCTTCATGTTACACCAAGTATTATGACCATACCAGGCTGGAGCATCTGATAAAATATGGGCCCCTACATTGATTTTGTCAAACAGATGGAAACAGTAGAGAGAGAAGACAAAGAGAACTTAACACAACCTGCCATTTACAGAAGGGAACACTATAGATTATAAGGCTAGGACTATTACATGGGAGAAATATGGTAGAAGACCCATTGATGAGACAGACAGGCTGGAGCACTCAGGGCTTAGGGAACCCAGGGCTCCCAGTATAGTCTCCCAATAGACAGAGTTCCCTCTATATTTAAGATGGAATATAGTTTTAGGAATTAATCTTCACACATAAGAATGGTCCCAACTCTCTCTCTCTCTCTCTCTCTCTCTCTCTCTCTCACACACACACACACACACACACACACACACACACACACACACACACACGGGAGCATGTCACAGACATCCAACATTGTACAGTAAAGGAAGGCATAGGAAGGTTGTGTCCCTGTGCCAGATCATGGTTTGGCAAGGAGAATATACACTGCATTTCAGTACACACTTCCTCTTAAACTAAGAGCCCTTTGGCAGGCTTCTGTGATGTCTCTTTAGCTCCACAGCATTCCACATATGAGAAGACATCACTAGGTTGTTCTAAAGAAGCCTGACCTTGGCCGGGTGGTGGTGGCGCACGCCTTTAATCTCAGCACTCGGGAGGCAGAGGCAGGCGGATCTCTGTGAGTTCGAGGCCAGCCTGGGCTACCAAGTGAGTTCCAGGAAAGGCGCAAAGCTACACAGAGAGACCCTGTCTCGAAAAAAAAAAAAAAAAAGCCTGACCTTGGAGGAAGGGGCTAACAATCAGGTCTTGGAGAAAGGGGCTAGAATGTAGGCCTCTCTGGGGGCTTTCTGAGGCTTGTTGCCTACTACTATAGCTGCCATCTGCTAAAAGTATGGGGAGAGCAGCCTAAAAGGCAGCAGTCAAACACAATGTTTCTAGAAAGGTCTTTGCTGCAAGTTGATAAGAATAGTAAATTGTATTCCTCCATACTACCCAACAGCTTACTGTTTTCACAACAATGATCATATTTGAGTCTTGCCAATGGACACTGCAAATACATAGGTCTAAGGGGAAAATTTAGAAAGCAGAACATATCCAATTTCCTGTGGATAACAAACAAGGACTATACTTGTGAATTAAACAGAATGCTTCTAAGTAAGTTATTGGTTAAAGGAGAAAGTACAAAATATTTCAGTCAGGTGGTGGTGGCACACGCCTTTAATCCCAGCACTCGGGAGGCAGAGCCAGGTGGATCTCTCTGAGTTCGAGGCCAGCCTGGTCTCAGAGTGAGATCTAGGACAGGCACCAAAACTACACAGAGAAACCCTGTCTCGGAAAAAAAAAAATTATACACTTAGTCACACTTGCACATTAATCAAATCACCATCACACAGTATTCATTCACATGAACACATTCATGAATTCATTCACATAGACATACACAAGCATGACACACTCACTAAGATTCACACATTAAGACATACAAACATGACCTAAACTCATATATTACACATATACATATAAATGGCCATACATACACACACACATATACATATATATATATGAGCAAAATACTTGACCATGCACAAGCATACAGAAATCATCACAAAAATTTATTTTCCTTTTGTGTTGTCCTTATACCTTCCTTTCATCATAGCATGAGCCAGGCCTTGCTCTAAGCACTTGACCTTCATTAACTATGATAGCATTATTCCCATCTAATCCACAAGGAAGCTCAGGCTCAGAGAGGTTAGGTGACTTACTCAAGATCACACAACAAGCAAACATCAAAACTACTTTTAGCCTAGACAACTGGGTCCTAAGCATATACTTTTAACCTTTATCCAAATTTTCATGTGATTGTATCTTCCTATATTGTAGGTGCCCCTGTGCCTGTGTCAGTATCTATCTATGTGTCCAGTATTGAACAGATCTCAGAAATAAATATGGTAAGTCTATAGGTTATAAACATGGTGTTGGAGACAAGGGACAAGCATAGTCATAGGCCAACTCTAATTGTTCTGACCCGTGACAGAACTCACATGACAGTCCTCTGGAATAGAAGAAAATCAATTGAAGGCCATCACAGCATATCCAAACATTCAGTTACATGTAGATTAACAACTCAAAAGAAAATCTTTGGAGCTTTTAAAAGTTTTAATAGCATACTATCTTTGTACTGCAGGGTAGGTAAAGAGTTATTTCATAAGACACAAATTACAAATCATAAAAATAAATACTAGTATTTGATGTTGGCTATAGGCCAATCTGTATAGCCAAAACTTCTGAAACTTCAATTTTACAAAACAAAGCCACTGTGATGAGTGAAAAGGTAATTCAGAGTAGATGGAGATATTTGAAACACAGAGAGCTGGTATTCAAAATATATATAATGCCTGAGGATTGATAAGAATATCAAAAATGAATAGAACTGTACTTTTGTAAAGAAAACTAAGTAGTGGATGAACATATGAGAAAATGTTTGACCTTGTTTGTAATCAACAAAATGAACTCACAGTGAATGCCCACTATGTATGTACACATCAGATTGCCCAAAACAGGAGTCAGATGCTACCGATGTTGGTGAGGCGGAAGCACTGCTACCCCTCACCTGTTTTCAACTTTTACAGGGACACAAACGGCAATTTCACTTTGCCATCATTATTTCTTCATGGTTTAGGCATGTATGGTGCTTTTTTACATGATTATATACATTGTGTGTTCACATGTGAAAATATTCTCCAGGAATACAAGAGATCAAATTATAGTTACACACAGCAACTTTAATGGGCCTCACAAATACAATATTGAGGGAGTTAGGGGACAGGCTACAGACATACAGTTTGGTTCTGATTAGATAACATTCCAAAAAGAAGTCCAAATAAGCACTGTTTCTCAAAATACACATGAAGACAATGAAACTCTAACCTGAAGCATGGGAAATAGTGTCATTAAAAAACTTGAATAATGAATGTTTCCTGCTGGTTGTGGGAAATGTGCTCTAAAAAGGACACATTTTGGAACTTGAAAGTTATTGGTCATGTTCTGTTTCTTAACCTAGGTATTAATTATAGAAGCTTTATTTTGCTGTTCTTTCTTAAACATGTTTATATTTTATGCACCTGTCTGTATGATGTGTTTCATATAGTGGTGTGTACGTATAATACAGAAGACAGAGCGCTAGACAACCTGACAACTGTCATTTATCTCTCTCCAGGACTATACAATCACGATGTTTTTGCATCAGACCTGGAAAGACACACGCTTAGCATACTATGAGACCAACTTGAACCTGACTCTGGACTATCATATGCATGAGAAGCTGTGGGTCCCTGACTGCTACTTTGTGAATAGCAAAAATGCCTTTGTGCATGATGTAACTGTGGAGAATCGTGTGTTTCAGCTTCACCCAGATGGAACAGTGCGATATGGCATCCGGTGAGTTCATGTAAGAGTCTTGGGCTGTCCCAGCAAGCTTCTTTTTTTCCTACTGTGTATCCCACAATACATTAGAAGGAATATACAGAAGATATTCCTGTTTTCCAGATTTGCCTTGTGTGTACATACACTTTCGAAACTTTCCACAGGCATCCTAGCCTGCCCTGTCGCCCCACCTTGGCTTCTACTACTCCTGTCTACAGTGGTCTCTTTTTTCATGAGTTGAAACTTTGCACACTTTCACACATTTTCCAATCCCTGATGCAAATGTCTCCATCTTCAAGAAATCCTCAGAAATGCTCATGGCTAAATAATAGATTGGTAAAAAGCATGAGGTCCCACTTTAGTTTAGATGCTGTAGCCAATTTCTGCCCTTGCAGATGTGTCCTTTAATGGGAGGTTGTATTAAGGAATCTGAGCACACTGGGAACAGTGTTACTTTATTTTGTGAACAATAAGGAAAGGAATTTACAATGTCACCTACCATTTGTGAAAGAAAATACTGTTTTCACTAATTTTTATGTATTGTCATATAGATTTTTTAAAAAGAAATCTTGATTCCCTGGACCAAAAGACCTCTTCCTCCATTTTTCCTTGTGTGTGCCATGAGGCAGGGAGACTGATGAATGCTGAAGCCTTTGCAGTAAAGAAGGTGCTCCACCTCTCCCCACTTCCATATGTTTGCACTGTGCAGGGTGTTAGAAGAAATGGGTGAGCTAGCTCTATAAGAGGACTAGGGTGGGGTTTCTGAGCCCCTGCTCTCTCTCCACACAGAACACATGCATATTGGTAGTCTCCACTGATCTATTTGCAATAGAGCAATCTCCAAAGCTGACTTCACAGTTTCAGCTGAAACAGATTGTCAGTGAAGGCAAGCTGAAAGGTCATCTTGGTGGTAGCTACCATGGTTTGACAGGTTGTTACAGGTCTAATAATTGGGTTTCTCTTACTCTGAAGTGCTCTCTTCCCATTCCTTCCTTCTTCCTCCATCCACATCCCCATGGAGTCATTGAATACCAATGCTTACCTGAAACTGAACAATAATCACTCTTTTTTAAAGTAAAGGAGGCATTGGCTGATGAATATACTTGGGAAATTCATTTTTTTTAGAAAATGGAAGTACACACATATATGCATACTACCCACTGCCCCAGCCAGTGGGGTGTCAACGGGGGCGACCCACCTGCGGGAGAGAATGAAAGGGACGGGGGAGATGAGAGAAGACAGCAAGACAGTGTTCTGATCAAGCTGCAAATTTTATTCTCCTCAGCAAGGCTTATATAGCATGGGAGGGGGAGGGGGCAGGAAGGAGGGAAGGGGTGCACGATGTGCCTTATGTGCAGGTGAAGGACTACATGCAAGTTGTGAGGCTGCTAGGTGGTAAGGTCACTGGTCAGGGCCCATTGTTCTGTTGGTATGCTACCTGACCTGCCTGACCTGTTCTTTATCTTTGGGGGCATCTGGTTTAGGGCAGGGGCTTGTTCTCTGGCCTAGCTAGTACTTTCCCATGGTCCATGTTTGGTCCCTGACAACCCACTACACAATCCCAATGCTTATCTGAAACTGATCAATAATCACTCTTGTTTAAAGTAAAAGAGGCATTGACTGATGATGAATAATACTTGGGAAATTCATTTTATTTAAAAAGAGGGAAGTACATACACACATACATACTAACCACTACCAGTCCCCAAAATGAAATTCCTACAAGGATTGACAGGGACTAAGCTAAGTTAGCAGATGGAAAGGGAAGAAAAAGAAATGGGACAGATATGCAACAGCAAAGAGCTTTTTTCATTACATCATATTCAAATCCAAGTCACCTCCCTGGCTCTTCCAAGGCCATTTTATTAGATTCCTCTCCTGGGTGCACAGCATAGCAACTTGATGCCTCTTTTGGCTCTAACTACTGTCAGCACTGTCTGGGCCCTCCATGGATAGGCATTTTGTGCCCACTGACTTCTTTCTAGCTCTCGGTGCCACATAGGCCCTCACCACTGACAGGAATGTAGATATGGTCAGAGGCGGGCCTGGGTCACTGCCCACATGTATATTTGCACACCACATGCCTGCCTTCCCCAGTGGCTCTGCAGCCTCAGCACATTACACATAGCATACAATGTTCTCTCAACAGCCTTGCTGATACTTTAACAAGCACAAGTCTTTCTGTCTCTGTATTGTTTCCTCAAGGGCCCTTCCCATGCTGATGTTCTGTGGTTTTTCTGACATATATCTGCTCTTTGTTTTAGCTTTGCAAAATCTTTTAATTCCTTGTCAAATTCCAATTTTCTCTCTCTTTCTCTCCCTTCCCCCAATTCCATACACATGGGTCAGTCCTCCACCTAACTCTTGCCTCTCCACTCTGCAGAATCCTTAGGAATAAACTTGAATCATTTTCCCTCCCTTTTTGTTTTCTTTGTCAGGCTTACCACAACAGCAGCCTGTTCCCTGGATCTGCAAAAGTTCCCTATGGACAAGCAAGCTTGCAAGCTGGAGGTGGAGAGCTGTACGTATTTCTCCTGTGGACCCTTCATCCCTGAGTGGAGCTGCTATAGTCAGGAAAGCACAAGTAGACTTGAAACTGAGAGAAATAGCACAGCTCCTCTGCTCTCTACTCCCATATCTCTTCCCAAACATGTGCGCAAGCAGTAGATAAATGAAAGATGAATGATGGCTACACAATAAACTGACCAATAGCTATATATATGGCATCTGGGAGTAGGTGGCCTTTGTGGTGTAGGTAATTCAACTGAAAAACTATACATACTCATGGCTCATGGGTAAAAGTTCATAGCATCTTTTTGCTACTCATTCCTTCCTGCCTAAAAACCTTCAAAATGGGAGTCCTGTCTTTGCAAATATTCAGAATCCCCATGCTCAGACTCAGAAAACCACAAAGTATCCCCCCAAATTCTAAGTGCCAACCATGCTTTGGTTTTCACAGACTTCTTCGAGTAAAATCTGCCTAGATTAACTCTTTGTTTCACCTCCTAGATGGCTATACCATCGAAGACATTGTGTTATCCTGGGAAGATGAGAATGCCATCCACATTACTGATGAGCTGCACATCCCTCGGTTTACCTACCTGGGGAGGACAATTACTAGCAAGGAGGTGTATTTCTACACAGGTCGGCCAGACCCACTCTTTTTCTGCTGTTTCTTGTCCCTTTTACACCACTACACAGTCTTGGGGGCATCTGCCTTTGATCCTTGTAGTTGCCTCCCTCCTTTCCCATTTTTTGGATCTGAACACATCTTTCTCCCCTATTGATAAAGCCCTGGTGGCTAATGGCTAACCCTTACAGATGGAGAATAAGTGTGGAGGCTTGGGCAGGTTGACAACACTCTACAACTGGAAATGATTCTTGCTCTTCACAGGGCTGGCCTCTCACCTTCCATCTGTTTGCAGACTAAAATTGTCTCATGTGGAATGAGTGAGGCAGGAGAGGGGTTAGAGCTGACTTGATGTGTCACATGGGCCTGACATCACTGTGTGTTCTTACAGGCTCCTACATGCGCCTGATAGTGAAGTTCCAGGTTCAAAGAGAAGTCCGCAGTTACCTTGTGCAGGTCTATTGGCCCACAGTCCTCACCACTATTCTCTCCTGGATATCATTTTGGATGAACTATGATTCCTCTGCTGCCAGGGTGACAATTGGTAAGTCTTATCTATCACCTCTCAGGAAGAAACTTGAGTTATTTTGCTTAGAAAAAAAGTACAGGCAAAACTGGGAAGACCTTAAACTTCTGCTCTAAGTTTGGGGAAGGCAAGAAATGTTTTAAGCAAGGATCAGCCTAGGATATTGGGCTTCTTGGTTTGTTTTTGCCTTCTGTAGGGCAAATTGCTCTATCTTTTCCTTTAGGGGCACAAATACAGCTAGATGTTTGATATTTTAGGGTTTAGAAAACCTCTTCAGATACTAAAAGAAGAAGTATATGGAACTGGAGATCTAAAGTATTTAAACCATGACAAGGAATTTGAGTTCGATCCAGAACAAGCAACCTGGTGAAGCATAGGGAGAAGGAACTAGGAGAGGACATGGGAAAAGCCTCTACCCCAGAGGTGGCCTCTGATCACCTCCTTTGGGGTATAGACTTGCTAAAACCTGCAGCTATCAAGGGAGACTAAACCTATACTGTGTTGTCCATAGGCCTAACTTCTATTCTTGTCCTGACCACCATCGACTCACATATGCGAGATAAACTCCCCCATATTTCCTGTATCAAAGCCATTGACATCTACATCCTTGTGTGCCTGTTCTTCGTGTTCCTGTCCCTGCTGGAGTATGTCTACATCAACTACCTTTTCTTCAGCCAAGGACCTCAGCACAATCGCAAGAGGTGCAAGAAACCCAGGAGAGTTGTTGCCCGATACCGCTACCAAGAAGTGGTAGTGGGAAATGTGCAGGTTTGACATTTTGACTGACAGCCAGCTTTCCCTGAGCACCTCCTCAGCCTAGGCTTAGCACTTGACCCTTTTACATTTCATAGTTGCTGTAATCCTCATACATTACTTGTATATGACAGGCATGCCCACACTCGTTCATTGATGATCATTATTTGATATCATGAAACAAGAGAAGTCAGAACTTGATTTCTCTAGATCTTTGAGCCAAATTTGCTCCATTTTATGGGCTTCTAGAGTAAGTGATAAAGCCAGAAGGAAAGGTGAGACCCAGGGAGACAGACACCAGAGAAGTTGGCCTTCAAACTTTTCCTTCCCTGGCACTTCAGATACCTGAAAACATACTGGGCCTTTTGCTTTGGGATATACATGAATGCCCAGCAACACCACTCCTTTGCAGAAAGCCCAGCCTCACCCTACCTGAGAAGCCTACATATAGCACATGGTACTTCTGAGGTTACAACTGCCCCCAAGAGAGACAGTTACTTTGCTGCAGCTATGACATTCTCTGCATACTAAAACAACTTCCTGGTCCAGTTTCTCAACCCCTATGAGCACATCAGAGAGCCCAACAGGTTATCAAAGACATCAACAGCAGCATTGAAAGCACTAAGCAGGAAAGTTCCCTCCTTTTTCTCTTCCCTCATTCATACCCACTAATTGATATGAAACTGATCAGCTTATCCATTATCTCCTCCAAGGATGGCCTGATTAATGTGGAAGACAGAGTGGAAGACAGAGCTGATCCTCTTCCTGACAGCCCCATGCAGGCTCATCTGGCAAGTCCGGAAAGTCTTGTGTCCTTGGTGCTCACTTCAGAACAGGCCCAACTGGCTACCTCGGAAAGCCTCAGCCCACTCTCTTCCACTCCAAGCCAGGCCCAATTGGCCACTGGAGAAAGCCTGAGTGATCTGCCCTCCACCTCTGAGCAAACAGTGCATGACTGTACCATTCACTTTCATGGCTTCCTCACTAATGACAGTATTATCCCCATCAAAATCCACAACCATTCTGAGGCCCATGGTGATGGAGACTCTGAAGAGAGCCTAAGCTCTGAAAGCCATGGCCATGACAGCAGCACCAGTGGAAGGCTCATGTTCCACAGTGGCCAGAGGTGTGTGCAAGAAGCAAGTTGGGACCTTGATAAGATTGAGAGCTTACAGGATGACATCAGTATCAAGAGCAGCTGGCTTGGCCTTGATGAACTATGCAAGGGGGATGCTGACAGTATCTGGAGCCTTACTGATGAGGAGCTCATGGCCTGTGACCGAGAGAAGGACCATAGCTCAGAGTCTGGGGAGAGTTTCCCCTCAATCCCTGGGTGCTCATTCAATGAAGGGTTCTCTTTCCAGATCTTTAACCCTGACCGGGTCCCTAAGGTTGATAGGTGGTCCCGTTTCCTCTTCCCTCTTTCCTTTGGGTTGTTCAATGTGGTTTACTGGTTGTACCACATCTATTAGTTTTCCATACCCTACAGCAGCAGAGATACTATGGTGTGTTTCCTTCATAGTTCCTTAGGTTTTTCTTTTCCATCTTCTCTTTGTTCATTTTATTTGGTAGTTGTTAGGGCAATCAAATCTGTTGTGCCCTTTTCTTTATTATGAAGTGGAGATGGAGAGAACATGTAGCCAGAGAGTAAGGGATTGAGGAAGACATGAAGATAAATTGCACATTATTTTCCTCCTGCTAGAAGACTCTTGCCTTTCAAACACTTTGAACAGTCCATCAGTCTAGAAACTCCTTCAGAAGTGTTGAAAGGACAGAGAAGAGCCAGGCTGAGGAATGAGGAGAATCTGAGCCTGGTTCACAAGCATTCCTGGGAGCTTTCCTTTTAGTCCCCTCAAGGTGTTGAAATTACTTTTGCATCACTTTTTTTTCTTCCTCCTGGGTGTCATGCACCTTGTCCACCTGCTAAAAAGGGCTTTGGGAGAAGTCAAGCTAAGTTGGCCTTGGGTATGCAGAGGTGCTAGGCATGGCTTGGATATTCTGACAAAAGGAAAGTTGGGAAACATTTATAAGTGCCTTGTACTTTGAGTGTGAAGTTGTGATTGAGAGGGGAAGGTAGAAGGGACTGCAAAGAGATATAGCTGGGTAAGTGAGAATGCATGCTTCCAGCAGGGGTATGTAAGACAAGGGGGTGATATCAGGCTGGAGTTTGTACATGTTCAGATGTTCCATTTAAAGTTATTAGACCTTTTCTTGCCTATATTTCTGCTTCACATTGCCTGACAGTAGGAATTCAGTACTTCTCTTCAGTTAGAAGTTAGCTTTCTACAATTGCTGAGTTGATTACTAGTTACAGTAGAAGCACTTGGTGAGTAAGCACTAGTTGAGAAAGTTCAGAGTTGCTATTTTGCCATCAGCCAATAGCATATGGACAATTACTGTGAATCTATATACTAATCCTTTCTGTTTGTCTAGTGCATATTAAGTGCCAACGAGCTCCCTGACCCATCACATCGTTGGATCCTCACAGGAGCCCTGTGAGCCAGGGAAGACAAAGCACCTTGTCCTCAGTGTTCCAAGGAAAAAGTGGAGCTTGTGTGCCATGCTTATGGATGCTTGTTCTTTCTCCTTATCTACCTAACTCTCAACTGATGCACTCCCCTATTGCCCCCCTTTTGCTCAAAGAAACATCCCTACAGAATCTACCTGTCGGGCTACTAAGCAAGAGGCTACTGAGCAGCCACTGAACATGAACTGAGCAGGTGGAGAATATGGCCCTGTCCACTCAACAGGGCTCCTGATGACAGTAGGATGAGCCTGTATGCCAACCTGACAGGAAGCACCAGCTCATTGATGGAAGTCATGAGAGAGCTTTCCAAGCATTCAGTCTATGTTCCCCCTTTATAAACAGCCTCTCCTTCAGCCCTGTACCCATACACAGCCCACCCACATCCTTAACTATACTTCTGTGTTTATATATTTCTGTGTATCCCTGGGGATGAGTGTGCATGCATACAAGTAGATCTATGTGCCATACAACCATTTGAGAAGCTGAATAGCACTGCAGTAGTGTAAATCTATGTTAGTATGTATGAATGCATATCTGTACTGTGTGGATGAATAATTTAAATGTATACATCTCTATGACAGTGTCAGTGTACATGTGTACTTATATTAACACAGGTGAATGTATTCTGTGTACATTTCTAGAAAGTATATGTCTATATGCCTCTGTTTATCAAATTTAGTTGGTGTAAAAGAACATACATCAAAAACCCTATGTATTCCCTGTTGGAGGTTCTTGTAGACTCTAGTGACCTGTTTTGACACAGTGGGGAGAGTCTTGTTTAGCTGGACTGACTGTTTCTTTCTAGTTCTAGGGAGCCAACAAGTAGGGTCTATTGGTCTCCATCAACTCCTCATTCTTCCTCCACCCATCTCTGCTGTGTCCTGGGTAGAAGACCCAGAGGAAGTGAACATAGTCCTAAGAAGCGGTAATGTTAGTGCCTTGGGGATAGAGAGTAATTGGTCCATGGGATAAACTTGGAGTGCTGAGCATTTGGCTTGATGCTGAAAGGTACCAAAAGATGAACTGGGAATAGAAATAAGGTGTGGACAATGGGGTAGGTATTCAGAGACTTGGAGAAAAGGTTATTCATAATTTTAAAATTCATTTCATTACCCTATTCACTATGTGAGCCTGACACAGATGAGGATTGCTTGCAGCTACAGACAAGCATGCAGTGAAAGGATGTGCCTAGAATGTTGGGTGCCAACAGCTACATTCTAAGAACCAAAGGTGCCTGAGATGTCTGGGGACAAGGACTGTGGTGGTGGGCCTATGGGAGAAGTATATTTGTAGCTCATCCTAGGACAGTTGTTGGCTGTTTGAATAGGCCCCAAATTCTCTACCTTGAATTTGAAATTTGAACATTTCTGACTTTAGCTCAATTCAAGGAAAGATTCAGAGAAGTGAAAGTGGAAAGAAGCCCAGGTACTGACTAGATGGTCCCAGTGTATTGCCCCTTCTCTTCTCCACACGTAGATGAAGTTCCAGACTCACACACAGCCACACACACCCATGCCATCACACATGCATACATACACATCAGGAGTACCCACATTTCTAGTTACACTCACAGGCATAGCCAGACATACACACTCACAAATAGAGATGCATATACTCACACATACTTTTAAGACAACTCAAAACAAGGACATTACTACCAAAATGTCTAAGATTGCCTCTTTTGTTTTCAGAAGCCAGCACAAAGAGGTCCAGATTAAAGGGAGAACAGAGAGCTCTCATCTGGAATCTGAACATTCATTGGCTGTGTTCTTGGATTTGGAGCCCTACAATCTTGAAGTGTTGAACACATCATTGGAGTAAAGTTGCAAAGAGGAATTGGAGTAGTGGGAACAAAGGGGCAGCAGGGGAAGGGCAGAGAGCCCAGTTGTAAATATCCACATAGCTAGATATATCATACCCTTAAAAGACTATTTTGCCCTAATGCGCTACAACGAAAGCAGTTAAATTCTATTGTGATTCATATTCTGTGAGATTAAGTGTCAAAGTGCTGTGGAGATTTGGCAATGACAACTTTTCAGGAACTTGAATCTTCTGGTTTTCCCATGTCTGTGGCATCTCTTAAAAGTTTCCAGATCTCCCCTTGTGTTCTGTGTGTGGTCTATTGTCCATTGTCAAGCCTGATTCTAGCTGTTCCTAGTCCCCCTCCCATGCAGGCATACCCTCTCTATCTGGCTGCCTATGTTTCTTTCCTAATGTCCCCCAACACCAAGCAGTTGCTAAAGTGCAGAGGACCTGCTCCTGGAGTTCAGCCAGTCCAAGAGCTTGGACAGAAGGAAGAGCCTTACTGAATCTGGGATGGAGCAATCCCACTTTACTACTCTCCTGTCTTGCCCTCCCCTTACCTTTTACCCTAGAATCCGTAACTGAGCAGGACACTAGCTGTCTGTCTTTCCAAATTGTCATTTTGTTGAAGAAATGTGTGATACATTTCCCGCCCAGTTTGATTTGCACTGTGGGGTGTCTGCAGAGAGAATAATATGTTATGTCTTAATGGAGTTCATCCAGTGTATTCTTACAATTTGTGTCATCCTCGATAGTTGCAAGGCTGCAAACTCTTGGCATACTTAGAAGGAAGTTTTGCTGAGATGGTGACCATTCCTAATGAGGGTTCCTTACTCTGTATATATAGTAGCTACACCTTCAAGCTACTAAGCACTCCATCTGCATGACCCTGTGGTAGTAAGAAGAAACTTTCTAGCTGCTCCACAACCCAGCATCCAATGTAATTGTAACTGTCCTACCAAAAATGGAGTATGTTCATGTTTGTTGTATAATATCCTGAGATTAATATGAAATCTACATTATCAGTGTTGTGCTTTCAAGGGAGGGGAGAGATATTAAAGTATCTCTCTGGTATACTTAAATTATGAAATACGCCAACTGGTCAGGGTCATCATGTGGAACTGTGTCAGAATTTGCACCCACCATCATGCCAGACTGTATCCCTGGGATCAGTATTTATCAGCAAAGGTACAGGTACCAGAATTTTGCACAGTACTGTAGTAGATGACTTTAGATGATACTAGAGGATTCTTTCAATGGCGACTAAGTCAATAACAATCTAGAAGCAGATGAACTATGGTGAAGTCACATACATACAGATCTTCAGCAGTGGTATTGGGCCAAGACAGTAAAAAGCAAGAAAGAGAATGACTGATAGCTGAGTGACCTGGGTGGTCTGACCTGCAAGGGTCATAGAGTAGCAGAGCTTCACTAGATAATTGGGTGCCCACGTTGAGCTCATTAATCAACATTCATGTGAGAAAAAGACCTTGACAAGTCCTGATTTCAAGAAAGTGAAATATGAAGAAGCATAAGATTATGCTTCTGAAAAATATACAGAAATAAGTAAAAACATGTAAGTAGCAAAAAGCAAAATAAAAATCTATAATAGCAAATATTCTGGTTGGTCAGAGTTTCCTCTATATTAGATTATTCAGGTGCTACATGGGACACTCATCAGGGTCTGAAAGCCTCTGGCTTGCATTATTCTTCATGGTTTTCAAGAGGAAGGCAGTGAGCAACATTGTCATTGAATAATTCAGTTTTGTGCAAAGCATTCATGGTCATTGGAAACAAAAGTTTTAAGACAGAGCAAGTCATTATGGTACCAAAATATGAGGTAGACATTTAGTCCCAATCTGTGTAGGGGGAAAAGCAAGACAAGTGTTGTTTATAAAATACAAAATAGTTTTGTTTTCATCTCTACCAAAGTAGATGTGTAGAGCAGGGAGCAAGAAAGCAGCAGGGCCTAGTGGCACAGGAAAGTTGGCTCTGCCCCCTTGCCAGCCCTGGAAGACCTGGCCCTGCCCTTCACAGGAGAGTTGGCCAGGGTGGCTTAGGCTCAGAAGAGCTGGCTCTGTCTTTTGCTGGCCTCCTCACTCGGGGTAGCTAACCTTGCCCCTTGCCAGCTGTAGCAATTTAGTGCAGACGGTGTCATAGGTGAGAGAGTACTAGCCCCAATGAGTGGAAAGTTTGTCCTGCCTTTCACCTGGGGGAGGAGGGTGGTTCCTGTTGGAGGCCCAGGCTGACCAACTCAGCTACCACCCCATCCTACATCCACAGCTTTGAATTGGCCCACCCCAACATCTACCCTATCTATGACCTTCTAGAGTGGTCGAAGGGACTGGTCCTGCAGAACCATAGCCTCAGGGTCTCCATTATTGAGACAATAGCAGGATATCCAAGAGGAATTTCAGTGAGAATTCAGTACTGATGGTGTACCAGAAGCCAGAGGCCTTGAACAAGACTGACAACACAGTGTACAACAAACATTTGCAAGTAAAGCTGTTAGGGCAAAAGGATGTACTGTGTGACACACCACAGCTCCCAATACCACTAGGATAAACTAATATGTGATGGAGAGGTGGGTAAGACAGAGGAGTTAAGTGGGTTTTTGTTTTTGTTTTTCTTTTGGGAAGGGAGGCTACTAGGGTGGATGGTGGGCATGGGAGAACTGGGAAATGAGTGGTATTAGGGTACATGATGTGAAATTCCCAAAGAAGCAATAGAAAATTATGTTTAAAAAATAAAGCAGAGGAGCTGATAGTTTAGGGTTACTCTAGATTAAAAGCATTGTAAAGTCACACTGAAACATCCTAGTGATGGAGAGAGTCATTCTTTGTAACCCACACTCATCAGGACATCTCCAAATAACTGTTGATGAAAACATGAGATCCTGAAACATGAACCTTAAGCCAAAAGAGCTCCTCCCATCAGCTTTTTTGTGGCCTAATCAGATTAAAAGGGCTGTTCAGGGATTGCTTTGCTGGTCTGCCCACAGCTCTGAGGTAAGACTAGCTGGATATAAAAGTTTCCTCTTCAGGAATCTTGTGTGTGTGTGTGTGTGTGTGTGTGTGTGTGTGTGTGTGTGTGTGTGTGTGTATGTGTGTGTGTGTGTGTGTGTCTAGAGGACAGAGGTTGACATTGGGTATCTTCTTTAATTGCTCCTCCACCTTACTTTTTGAGACAAGATTTTTCACTAAAGATGGAGATCACTCATTCAGGTGGTCTGGCTGTCCAGTGGGCTCCAGGGATCTACTTGTTTCTGCTTCCCCAATACTTGGATGTCTTAGTCATGTTCTATTGTTGTGAAGAGAGAGACACCATGGCCAACACTTATAAAAGAAAGCATTTAATTGGGGCTGGCTTACAGTTTCAGAAGTTTAGTCCATTATTATCATGGCAGGAAGCATGGTGACACACATGCAGACATGGTGCTAGAGAAGTAGCTGAGAATTCTACATCTGGATCTACAGGCAGCAGAAAGAGAGAAAGCCACTAGGCCTAGCCCAAAGACCACCTCCTAACCTAGAGTTACACTTCCTGTAACAAGGCCATACCTCTTAATCCTGCCCAAGTAGTGCCACTCCCTAATGACTAAACATTCAAACATATGAACCTATGGGGGCCATTCTTAATCAAACTACCACATTTGACTACAGGCATGTGCTGCTATGCTCAGCTAGTTTGCTGTGAATCCAAACTCAGGTCCTCATGTTTACACAGCAAGCACTCTACTGGCTAAACCATTTCCTCATCCCTATAGTTCTAACTATGCAGTCACTATTTGCAACATGCCTTGTAATTTTGGCTCTCTCAGATCCCCTTCACTGAAACCAGGCTTCCAACTTTACTTGCCCACTAAGATTCAACCCAAAGCCTCCTTAGCTGTACAGAAGCCATTACAAAGCCCATGCTCCTTGCCTTTCACCACACATTGGGACTGGTAGCCCTGCTGGGCAAGCCTTTGCTATATGGACAGCTGTACTTGACCTTTCACAGATTCTATCATGACTATCTAACAGACAGAAGACTCCCTTATGATTCCCAGCAGCTTTCCTGTTGCTATGCTCTTTTCATGTCAGATGGGTCATAAGTAACTTGGGGTCAGTTTGTCTGGCACAAGCACAAGCTGCTGCATTTTTCTGCTAAATTCTTGCCAACCAGTTTCTGAAGGTGGCCTTGAACACAGGTGGAGTTTATAGCCCTTCGATGGGCCTAACATGACTAACTACACTGTTATATGCTGTATGGCTAACTACAAAACTAACTTAAGGGATGGGGTGAGGAAAGAGGTGTGATAAGCCCTCCATTTCCCAACTTGCTTAACACCTAGTGTAGATGTAACCAACCGTCTTATTAAATAAGAAACACAGAACCAGTGCAAAGAAGAAAGCCAAGAGATCAGAGCTAAGAGCCTTACCTGCCTGCTGCAGCTAGCCTCTTCAGCCAAGAGACCTCTCCAAAAAAGAGAGCTACTTCCTGTCTGTTTGTCTTTATATAGACTTTCTGTTCTGCCTTCTCATTGGTTGTAAACCCAACCACATGACTGCCTCATCACTGCCTGTATGTACAGCCCTCCAGGTCTTCTATGGTATTGAGATTAAAGGCATGTGTCTCCAATGATGGTTGTATCCTTGACCACACAGAGATCTACCTAGCTCTGCCTACCAAGTGCTGGGATTAATGGTGTGTGCCACGAACACCCAGCTCTGCTATGGCTTGCTATTAGCTCTGACCCCCAGTCAACTTTATTAACATACAAATAAAACCACATTTCAGAACAAATAAAATATCACCATAACCTAGGGTGAAGGAAACTTTCCCATAGCTTCTCCAGCTTTCAACAAGGTTTCTACTGAAAGCCTCCCATCTTGGCTCAGCTTTTTTTCCCCAGCCCTGGTAGGGTCTCCCAGAGACCCATTTGTAATGAGAACCTCAATGGTATATATATATAAATTTATTAAGAGGTTCTATGAGAAAAACAGATTCACTGATAGAGGATAAGGTAAATTCAGTTGCAGAATCCTTGGAAAGCTGGGGACCGATCACACACTGCTTCACGCTGCCTAATCCAGTCTTCATCATCCAAGAGAGTGCAACCTCCTCTCTCTTCCCTTTTAATCGGTAGGTCATGTAGGCAGATAAGAATCACCATATTTATCAGGCCAGATAGCCCAAGGTCATGGAAGAAGCAAATTCCCACTACACTTCCCCTTTTAGTCTAAATAAGAAGGTTCTAAACCGAATTCAAAACTATGTACAATATGAATGATTATCAAGTATTGTCCAAGAGAAAGGGTAATAACATAACAAAAATGGAACTACAACCAACAAGAACAACATCAAGCAAGAAACACATACTAAATGTCCAGACCATAGGTAATTGGCAAATTACAGAGATTACTCCACTAGCTGTCCTATCCTGAAGAATCTAAATCTTGTACCTGATATGCTATTAGCTAAACTATGAGAGGATTGTACTTGTAACTATCTAGTCTTCAACCCCATCAAAGACCTGAGAAGGATATAATATTACCTGAGTAAGTAGGAAGGGCAAGCAAGCAACTTCTGAAGTATGCAAGAAATGACAGAAACAGTTGGCTGCCTAAACAGTCACCCAGTATTTCTCTGCAATGTTGGGGCATCCACTTTTGGCTATAGGCCTAGAATATCTGACAGACCATTTTCAGAAGCAGGATATATGAAACACCATCATGCCCTGTCTTGGCAAGGTTCAGCAGTCTCTTTTCCTTGTGTCTTGCTTGTCCAGAATGGACATCATGCTTACTGTCAGCAGCCGAGGCAAGGGCAGTTCTTTGCCCAACAGATCATTTTTGCTAAGAAGAAGACAAACTCCATATGGAGTGTCTTCAATGCCCAACATCTTCTCAGGAGTAGATCAGTGCTGCCAGGAGCAATCGTGTCTCACATCAAGACTTCTAAGCTATTAAAACATTTAAATGCCACATTCTCTAGGTCTATGGCATGTTTGAAGATTACCTATCTGTGGGAGCCTGTTTTC